AAAGTCACATTTATGATATAACGTCCAAAATCATCATAGCTCCATCAGAAAACATATTGGAGAGCTGAGAGGCATCTCATTTTGTAGAGAAATGTTTACTCTGCAAGGCTGACTGTTTGAGAACTTTATTAAGTACTGAATGGAAGAGAAAAAAGGTTCGAAAGTAAAAAAATAAGGTTTTTCAGCGTAAAGTAACAAACTTTAAGAAGTTCGTATCTCCTCAACGAAAAGCCTTGGAGAGCTGGCGTGGTCTTATTTTGTAGATGACACTTTCTCTGTAATGCACAATATTAAACACAATAATAAAATAATTTCTAAAAAAGTCTAAAAAAAGAGGCGTTACGTTTCATTTTCTCTGACAGTGTACATTAGGATTCGGCAATATATACACTACTAGGTAGAACAAGTCTTCTTCTACAAGCTCATACATATTCCGTTTTGGGGTCAATAACTTATAGTCACCTTTATTGCGGTTTATTTGCTGAAAGTAGAAAGTGCTTATATCATATAGTCATTGTGTTAGGCTAAGAAGCAGAGGTGCAGAATCTACCCGTGAGATTGCAAAATTTCCCACCACAGAAAAAGTTTTTTCAACAACTTCCCCGACATAATCCACGAACAGAATTTCTTTTTGCAATATATTTGCAAAAACATGTTTCAATTTTTCAAAAAAGTTCCCCGAGTCAATAAGTTTTCCCTGACGACCGTCGGAGCAAACAGGCAGATTCTGCAGCTCTGCTAAGAGTAAAATGGACAATGTTCTTTGTCCAACAAAACTAAGAATACAGTTGGATTTTTTACATCGTAGTCTTTAGTTTTAATTAATTTAAGAGAAAATGTTTTCAAGGTTTAAAAACTTAAGCGCTTTTGCAGGTTTGTGTGAAGAATCGAATGAGCACGATTTGGTAAACAAAAAATCCATTTCACTCTTCTTGACCTAACACAATGGCTATATGACATAAACACTTTCTATTTTAAGCAAATAAACTACAAGAAATTTGCAACATTTTAGCGAAACTCCAAACTTTGCAGATGACTGTGTTTCGGAGAAATATTAATCATAAGTTTATATGAGAGGTGTGTGATCAATTTTGTTACACACTGTATCTTTCTATCATATTAAAAAAGCAGTCTGTAGATCATAGATCTTGGAAATATAACAAAATACACTAAAACCTGCATATTTTGAATTTTCTAAAAATTTGCGTTCCATACTTAATGGAAGTATGTCCATCATACTTCAATTTTTTTTTATTGATAAAAAACATAACAAAACAAGAAACAAACGGACAAACATGGAAAACAAAAGCAAATAAACAATTATATTCTTTCTCGATTATAAATTTAGGGCAGTTTTCTTATATTTCATAGGTGTATACGTCTTACACCACTTTGGATATTTTGAAGAGTAAAAGTTTAAAAAATTATGGTACATAATTTGGACTTTTTTGTAAAATAACGAATCCTTCTAGTATAGGTGTTAATGCTAAATATTCTTCTGTGGCTAATTCAGCTCGTTCACCATAGGCTAATAGAACGGGTGTTGTATGAGTTTGAAAACCAGTGATTGTTTTGGGTTTACCGGCTTGTCCCACAACATCGACAGCCTAAATCAGAAGAAGAGATATGAAATTAAATGTTTATATTTTGATTTTAATAACATACTTGTCCAACTCGAACTGGTACGGGTAATGGACGTAATGATTCATCAAATGTGACTAACATACGAGGCTGTATTGCCAATGATAAGAAATATAGAAGATAATGATATTTTCCAACAATAGCTAAAGATAAACATAAAAAAAAATTTAAACGATTGTTGAATATGGGTTTTTGACAGTAAGTACAAATTACTACTCTTAGAGGTAGAGTCTACAAAAAATATTAGATATAAATAAAGATTTATGCTATAAAATTTTTGATAACACAACTGATTTCTAAGCTGATATTTTATCTTACAAGTAACACATATTCATCGATTTATCCTTGCATTGTATACTTACTTGATTTAACATCAATGAATGCCACTAGTACAGCTAATATTCCAGCTAATGCAACACGACATAATAACATTCGATCACTGTGATATGGGTTCAATGTCATTGTACCTTTACCAAGATGAGTTAATCCTTGAGCTAATCGAACCATAAATAAATTATTCATATCTTTTGAATGATAAACGGCTAATTGACGTAACATAGCGGCTAAGCGGGCATTATTTGTACCTAAAATGGGATACAACAAAACAGGGTGATCAAACTTGTTTAAAACGTATTTCATGCAAGACATCACCACTCCGACATATTTTTTTCATTAATCAGGAAAATATATGATAATTCTATGATTGATTACCTGCTCCAACCATTCCCATTGCAAATATTGAATTATATGATACTTCGTGATCAGCATCATGTGAAAATTTACTTAATGTATCAACTATATTTAATTTTGGATTTGAAACAGATAATAAGGCAAGTGCTAATGGCACAGCACGTTTTATAACTGCTTCACCGTAACGTAACTAGAAAAAGAAATCACATATACGTGTGAATGAAAAGATTGTGATTTTTATTTCTATGTGGCTTTTACCAGATGACCAAATGTACGTAAAGCCATTTCTGATCCAATTTCTTCACCCATAGAGATCATGGCAATACCAATTACAGCAGCAGCTAAGAAAAAGGAAAAACGGTTAGTTCTATTAGAAAGAAGAATACTACGGCTTGTGGGTGTCGTTATCGGTCTAGGATATTGACAAGTGTTGATTGTCGGTCACTCATATCGTTGCTAGAATCATCAAATGCATCTTTGCCCAAAAGACCTGCCTAATGCATAGATCTTTTCCCTTGTTGTTTGAGGTCCCAATACACACTCACTAGCCATGTACTAGCTTTCCGAAAAGCCACGAAGACTATTAGGAATAAACGTCTTTTACCTTGATGCATGGAATTTTGTGCAGCAGTTTCTTCATCTTTTTTCTTGTCTTTCTCTTTGTCTTTTGAATCTTTTTCACCTTCCTGTACACAAAAACTAAATGAGTATAGATTACTAAGCAAAGGATAATTGATTTATTTACCTTTTTTTCTGTACGTTGCTCAAAATGTTCACTACATATATGAAGCATTTTTTGAACTTTTAAAACATTTCCAGTACCAGCATATGCACAACATTCAACAAGTACAGTTGCAAATGAACGTAATGGTTCATTAATTACTTTTAACGATTCAAGCATTGGTTCAACAGCTTCACCTTTTCCTGCAATGAATAAAAACAGTCGTTTTAACTTGTTTCAAATATAAGTTTTTCTTTTTCTAAATTACCTAAGAACAGTAAACCAATGGCCAATGCAATAAATTTACTAAAGTGGTCTTTCAACTCCACTTCACTACGTTCTAATAAAACACTTAATAATGTTGTTGAAACTTCGGAATTACATGAACCAACAGATATAACTCCAATTGATAAACAAGCCAAGGCAATTATCTAAGAGAAAGAAAAAAGATTGAAGAAAGAATGACGTTTTTTAAACAAAAGGTACTTACTTCCATTGATGGTTGACCTTCGTGTAGTGCATTGCTGATTAAACTGACCACATCTTCACGGTTTGTACCAGCATAAGCTAAACCTAATCTAAATAAAAAAGGAGAAATTTGTTATTGAATAATGAAATAATGCGGATGAGACAGATAAAGATTTCTCACATACAAGTACTATTTCAAAGTATTCAACTCTCGATCATGTGAAACAGGAGTTTCAGTTTGCAGTGTACGAAACAAGAAGTCAGATACTGACCCGACTATTGATCCAACACGGAAAGGATTTTCTTTATGTGATACATAATCTCCGAGCAAAGCAAGAGCTGGATCACACTCATTTTGTACTCCACAATTTACGATCCCGCATGCCAATAATGCGCCAGCCTATTCAACAGAAATAAAAATAGAAGTTCCCATGCGTGGAAAAGCGTTGTAAAAAGCTAACTAACCTTCATATTATCATCAACACTGTATAAATATTTGTCAATTAAACTAAGACCACCGTCGACATCCCATAAAACAATTAAACCTAATGATGCTGTCGCACTTAATAATCCTAATAGAACAAAAGAAGAGTAAAAAGACTAAACATAAGACTCATTTTTCGAATACAATTTACAAGCCATTTACAATGTGTCAAAATGTCCTGATGATTTTCAGTGAAAATAAAACAAATTATTTTGCTTTTATTTTCTGCTGTCCTCTTACCATTGTCCTTATACTTTGTTAACCATTTAGTATCTTGTGTAACAATTTTATCTTGTCCAAAACCACAATTTACAAATCCATTAACAAATGCTGATGCTAAATTTTGTTTAGATGAATCGGGTTGACTAAAACTTGTTCGAGTTGTACTTTCTAAATATGTTTTATAAATATCTTCTGGTAGTTTTGCTTCCATAATGTCTAATTCACGTGCCAATGATAAAAAATTGCTTGTCAAGTGAGAATTTGACATAATATTTGTTAATTCATCGGGATCTTCACCATTGTTCATTTCAGATACATTCCAAACGATTTGTTGACGACCAAGTAAAAAAGCCAACTGTTTTCTTGTTAAACTAGAACAAAACTCATAAATACTATTGTACTACTCTAAGTATTAGCTGAAACTTCGTCTAATTCATCAGTAAAAAAAGCTACCTTGATGGACAAGTTTTAACAAGATCTTGAATGAGATCCATATCATTCAATTGTATGGCACATCGTAATGCAAGTGGATATTGATCATAACGACGATAAAGTCTACATGCTGTTCGTAACATTTGTGTATCATCTGGCTCAGGTACATACGGTACACAACTAAAAATAGCGATAAAATATGATGAATATATTATTAACTGAATCATTTATTCGCTTTTTAAAAGTACATATACCTCGTTAAATAAAGACACACTCTTGCATATGTATCTTTATCAATAAAATTTTCAATTAAATCTAAATGTTCTATTTCCATTAATAAATCACATGCATCGGCTTCAGCATTATGTTTCATTAAAAATGGTATAATTTGATCTGTTAATTGTATTAATTTTGGTTTCATATCACTGCTCGTATTCACTTGTTCCCATTCTGATGCTATTTCAGCTGATAAATGTCTAATAAAGAAATAGAATTATTAATAATATATAAAAGATACGTATTTGTTTCATAGTTTACCGAATGTATTCGTGTCCCCAAGCACCAATATCTTGTTCAGAACCGAGTAAACGATATTTTAAACATTCTTTTGTGTCAATTGTTGTCATTGCAAGAACAGAAATAATATCTGCACATAACGCCTAAATAGAATACTAGTAATAAAAAAATCAGAAGATAAAATTACAAAACAACATGTAACTCTCACTGCAAGCATAAAAAACAAAAATAAATAATGAAGTCCAATTTCTAACAGTTGCTAATTCCTATGAATATACTTGTATTTAGAAGAAATCTCAGATAACAAATTATTACACAAAACATAAAGAGCGAAACGTAAAGACTATCTGATAGTTTTCTCTTTCGGATACAAGTGCGATAAGTTACTTCACTCTCAACATATGTTAATTGCACTGTCGTATGCTATATTTTTTCCGTTCGAAAAAAAAGGAGTAACAAGAGCTTATTTCTCTTCTCTATTGAATATATTTTTAGTTTTTCTTACTTTATTTGTTTGTTCAGTAATTTTTTCGTAAATTTCCTTCATTGACTCGTAGTGTGGACGTAAAAATTTTAATGGTTTTGGAACACTTGTCATTGAACTGGTTGATTCACGAATTTTTTGTCGTAATGTTTCAAGTGCTGGACGATATAAATATGTATTATCTTCCTATTGAAAGAAAATAATAGTAGATTTTTTAAAACAGTTGCCAAACAAAGAAAATCACCTTTAAACGTTCAACACACAATTCTAATTCTTCTTTAAGTTGTTTATCTTCTTCCGACTTAAAAAATTGAACAGAAAAGAACAATGTAGAATAAACATCATAAGTGTGTAATCATATACCAAATCTTCTTCTTTAATTTCATTTTGTTTTTTCACATCATCAGCTTGTTTAGCATCTTTATCTTTCGCCGGTTGATCTTTGTCTTTTAATTGTTTATCACTTGAATCCGGATTCGCCATCTAAAACATAATACTGGAAGATGATTTATGTGATTTCGCAACTTCATCTACCGCTAAAATTCGTGCCTTCTTCGTTTTAACTCGAGTACAATGAATACTAAGCTGTTGTTCATTTCACGAAAAAGTAAAACCACACAGAGAATAAAAGTGAGAGCTACTTTTAGAAAAATAACTTATGTTATTGATTGAGCATCGATTTTACAGTTTTTTCCTCTTCTACCACGTAGATAAAATCTAGATATTATTTTCCCCATCAGCGGGGCAATAATGACAAACAAATCAACAAAAAGAACTTGATGTTCGACAAAAGTCAAGTCCTGTTATAGAAAAAACATATTATGTCTTCTATTACTACTATTGTGAATATTGGACATTCAGCAGTAGACAAAAAAATATAAGACAATCGAATTCTTTCTATCACAATGAAAACTATGCCTATCTACTCTGACAGAAAGATTACATTTTTGCCAGAATAGAGAATAATGAAAAGACAATATCATACAGATTGATCCAGAACTATTATTCATCCACCAATTTTTGTAAATCGGTGAACATTATATAGTTTCGCCTTGTGGGATAAATGTAATCTAGGGATATGGACTTTTTCACGATAACCGTGATGCGTAGACCTGAAATTACGCTTAGTATACTTGTCACCGCTTTGATTTATGCGTCATATAGCCAAAAAACCAAATTAATTAATTTATTGCTTTTCTAGGAGAAAGGTAAATTGACCAATCAAAATACAAAGAACTTTCATTTTGGTGAATCAACCGATGTCTGTTTACCTCTAGCTGTCAGGAGTCACTCTCAGCGCAAAAAAGCCTGTTATGTAGCGCCATGTGGTGAGTGATTAACGAGAAATAATACTTGAAACGAAAGGAAAAATTTGCTTTGTCAATAAGCGGCATCTATTTCAGTGTTTTTTTAATTTTTGTCTTAAGAAAACTTAATTAAAAGCGTTCATGGAAAAAGCCCCCAAGCTTCTTTGTATTATATGTGAGTTCCTTATAATTTTTGAAAATATGCCGAAAATGAACAGTTAGTTTTATGGAATTCAAGTTGAGCATTTATATGTGCTTACACTGGCGGACTCTATCTACGATACGGTGCACGCTACAGCATCCTACTCTAACAGTACCTACACAACACGGATGTGTACCCGTACTGAACAAATGCCTTTTTATAAAAAAATTTTGCGTTACATTCAGAGCTGACAGATGCTCAACTCAGAATGCGGAATAAAAGTTCGAAAATCCTCGGAAAAAGTTTATGGTCCAACTTCATCCTTTTTCACGCACAGCGAGTCAAAACAATCTGTTTTCTTTAGTACTTTGTAGTTTTACTCAATAAAACACAAGATAACAACAAACACAGAAATGTAAATCTCGATTTTAATTGACACATTGTTTTTGAACTGTATATTTTTGATTAGAATGAATACGTTTAAGCAGTTTTGGCGTTGATAAGAAATAATTATAAATTTCAGTGCATGATAATGGTGGGTTTAAACGAATTTTTAACTCAACGGAAAAACAGCAAAAGCCGAAAATGCTTAAAATGCGGATGAGTTGTGGAAAAAACTCAACAATCCGGAATTTGGACCATTTGGCAACTCTGATAACACTGCAGGTGTGCATAGACCTGTGCGCCTTGTCAATTTCATCAAATGTTTTATTTTATTTTCAATCGAAATAATGAGGTTAAAACAAGTTTTGTACGACGAGGACCTCCAACAAACTTCGGTGGCGGCGCCGAAAATCCAAAATAATTATTCATCGACGGCAACGCATGAACGCATGGCAGCGGCGCGGTGCGCATGTCTAGGTGTGCACCGGTTAGGTGCCAAATTTTATTTTTTAAGCACAGTTTTGTTTTGTTAACTTTCTGTCTACACTGTAAAAAATCGCATGTTTAAACCGTGTTAACCTGACGGTTTAAGAGTTGGATAGTTTTTTAATAATTCAGTCGTAGATGACTCACCCGATCTGATGTTTTTTCCATCAGGTTGCACAACCTGACGGAAAAAGCGTTTTAAGAGTCAGGTTATCTGACAGTTAAACCATCAGATTGGAACGGTTAAAGCGTGCGTTATTTTTTACAGTGTATATATAAACATTACAATATACTTGTAATAATACTTAGAATGCGCTTTTGCCTTTTTTCTTCTCAAACGAGAAGTACATAGGCAGTATCTCATGATTATGGCATGATAATGTAACACCAACATGCATATCAGTACAGCACTCTACTAAAAACAAAATTATGTAAAATTAAATATTATAAAATATTATCTGGTGACTGATATGAATGAGTTCCAGTACTGAACTTTTTTTTGAAAGATATAAACATAACGGCACTGTCCATCTGCCGATGTCGAGCCAGTTACTGCATTGACTTTTACCAATATCATGTCAGTCTGAAACTTTTTTTAGGCCATGTATCTGGAAAGAAAATAACCTATTTTCATCGACAGACTATCTATAGCTCTTTTTCATCTTGCATACTACAAAGATTGTCTTTATAAGAACGCATGGATTCTGAAATTTTCCGAATCCTCTTGTGGTAGAAGAACGGGTTATTGGTAGCTTATATAAGGTTAATGTACGTCAAGAGTAGATACTATGAACAAATCGTTACAATCAATGTAAAAAATCAAAAATGCATTGGTTATGATGCTCTACTCGTAACTGTACAAACCTTAAGCCTTATATTACTGCTCTAGAACAGATCTAATAAAGTAATTTGTAAAGTAACCATAGATAACTAATAAAATCAAGTGAGTAATGTTGAATGACAAATATTGTGTGTGTTTCTTCTATTCAAAATCTCAGAAATTTTAAATTCGAGTGAAACTTCACACATCTGATACACCACTTGACATATTTATTAGCACTATGAAGACAATGTGTAATATCTTAATCAGAAATGTCTGTTTATATTATATATTGTTTCTACTTTGTATTTTTAACCTTTTTGTTGTTTTTCATTATTTTCTTGTTCTGTCTACGATCAATCTCTTTGTCAATCACCTATTATGGATATAAACCATTCGTTTGTGGTGTCATTTAGTTTCTTTTTCGTGAGGAGTAAAAGTTTTAAATAAAGCATATAACCAAGTGCAGTAAAAAATAACTCACAATTCTCTTTGCATTTCACTTCAAACTAAAATTAATAGTATCAGTTCAGGGACGCCTCGACAACGGGAGCCCCTCCCTGCTTTTTCAAATCTTTTACTCCCAAATTCGAAAAGTTATCGTTCTGGAAATGAGATAAACAATTAGCACCATCTGATGTATGCTAATAACGATAACAGCATGTGAAACGAAGAGAAAAAGCTTCTGAGCTCTGATTTAGTACTGTATAATGAGCAGTCGTTGATTACTCATTATAAATACTCTCGATTTAAAAGTAAACATCAACATATTTTCTTTTCTTCGTTTACAAGAAAATCTGCGACGACTTGCATTTTGAAAGCATTGCATTCTTCTTGCTCTCTTACAGTAACTGACTCCCAACTCCCGCAGTATAAACGCTTGACTCTTCGTAACAAAACGCCATTGTCCGCTGAGTTTACTTCTAAAGTCAAAATTTGAGGCTCAGGTTTTCAATCAATTCCACAGGTCATGATGATGAATCAGTACGTTTTACTTTTAAATTTAAAGAAGTTTATATTACATAAACTGTGGCTTAATGGAAACAACTAAAACCGGGAAAGCGTATTCGAAAAAGAACACCTACAGATTTCAGAATAATTTTATTGTTTTTCACAGTTAAGTGTCGGCGACTTAGAACAAAAATCAGTTCAGAAAATGAAAAATACGTTTAATTTTATTGCAGAAACTATAGCAAAAAACTTGGTCGCATGAAGTTTTTTTGCAACTAAAATGTCTTGTATGTCAAAACTTACATATTATTAGACAAATCAGATATTTACTGTCATTTTTGAAATTTTTCGATTTACTCCTAAACCGGAAGATCCCCTTCCTGCTTTTTGTGCTTCGCAGCGTCCTTGTATCAATTGTTCAGAAATAATCGTGCATTACATTCGAACAGCTTACTCTTTAAAAATAGTGAGTGCAACAGTAATAATTTTTTTCGCTCTATCTTTCTTCTGCTGATGAGGATAGTAGTCCATTATGAGTCTATTCTCATTCTACGAACTAAATAATAGTTTAACAATTCATGATGAATTGTTAAACTACCAAACAAAAATGGTTATCATTTATCTGAAACATTGAAAATTGTAGAATATTGAGCGAAAAAAATTTAAATATAGACCATTATGTCGTATGAAATACCATACAGAGAGTGTCATCTTATTTTTCTTTCTGGTGGTTTTTGAGAATATTCTACTCCAAAAAAAACAGGAATGTAGCTATATGTCGAAAGTACCAGTGGTTTGTACAACAGTTGTATAAAATACCTGCGTAAGAAAGAAATGAAAAAATATTTAAAAAAAAACAGGTAAAACAGTGAAAAACTTTCGAGAATTATTAACTATTTTAACATCAGTATAAAATCCATTATAGAGCTTCTTCTTCTTCATCTTGTTCATTCAATGCCAAACCTTGACATTCTCCCGCATCTATAGCGTCACTATGATGTTTATTGTTCATCTTTTTCAAATCTGAATTGTAATTTCTTGAATGAATAGATGTAAATAATGTTTGAGAATCATTTGTACCAGTATTATTCAATAATATATCATTAGTATTGTTTGAATAATTATTATTAATTTCATTGGCACGTCTATTACGTCTTCTTCTTGATCGATATATTAGAAAATATGTACAAATAACGATATTTAGTACTACCAGTAATACAAGCAAAAGAATTGATAACATTAAAAATAAACGATTTAAAAGTAGATCAGTTATTGATGATTTTGGTGTACTTGATGCTGAAATATATTTTGAAGTTGATCTAATATCAAAAATAGATGCATTTGTTGTTAATAAATTATCGACTGACAATTGTATTGTTGAATTTAAATTTATCTCTGGCTCATTTATTTTCGATGGATCTCTATAATCTTTTATACAATTCTTTTTACACCATAAACGTTTTGGTGGTGGTCCAGGGATGAGAGGCGGTGGAGGAAAATATCCAATTATTGCCAGTAAAGGAAAACTTGCATTATCATAAAACGCATCATAAATGGTTGAAAGCTGCATTATCTATAAAGTAGAAATATTTTATAAAAAATTTGTTGATCAACTACAGAGTATGATGTAACAAGAAGGTGAACATAATACTTTGTTTCTCGAATTGTATAACTAATTTGAAATAAATAAATTATCAAGGTGAAATGAAATTGAACGGAAAGGAAAAATGACTTTGTTTTAACAAAATAGAATCAGAGACGAATCTCTACCGTCTTTTAAAAGTCGATTTGGATGCTATGCCAAATATCAAAGTTGTCTAGAATCTTGAATTCTTACATATGTAGAAATTACTAGAAATGAATCAGAAATAGTTGCTATTCTACATTCACTAAGAGTTTTTGTTTTTGGTTCACTTTTTATATGTAAAGTGTCTGTAATCTATAATTGTTTAAGTTCTTAGTATTGAATGAAAAGTTGAGCTCATCGGAATCTTCGAAATTTTGACTCTCTTTTTTTCAAATGATAATTGTATAGTATAGAGTTCTCTCTTCATTGAATTAATACATGATCTTTACTGACATTTGAACAATTATAGATTGTAAATGTTTCGCATTTAAAAAGATAAGAAAATAAGTTTTGCGTGTAGAACAGCAGTTCTTTTGAACTTACTCATCTCAGACTTAATAAGCAGCAAAAAAATTTGTTGATTATCACTCTATGTATTTGTATGAACTACCTCTTGTAGGGTAAATAGAAAACATTCACACGGGGCTCTCTGTATTTTGCAGAATTACTGGACATTTTCACAAAATTTTTGCATCAGTGTGTCAAAACAAAAAAAAAACTGTTTGATCTATCATCATGTTCAATAGTAAGTTTTTTTCTTTGATCAAAAAACAAAAAACGGTTGCGAATCCGCCGAAAAATTATGCTAGAAATTTCTGAAAAAGTGTCTCTCTTCTTATTCACTTCTCAAAGTATTCTAAAGAGTTTCTTACATTGAATATTTATTAGAGCTTCCAACTAGGATAAATATTAGATATTATAAATAGCATCTCTAATATTACATAAAGAAAAAAAATCATAATAAAAATCTATCACAATGTGTCGGTTGTATCATAGACGATAGGTATCACTTACATATCAACTTGGAAATAAAATGCTATCGTTGTTCAGTTAAGATCGAACTAATGACACTATCCATCAATTCATACATGTAGATGAGAAAAGAAAAAAAAAAATTTCTTTTTATATATATATGTGTGTGTGTGTGTGTTACATTTTTAAGAAATATATATGCAAAAGAAGAAGTATTTTTAGCACAGTATCTAGATATATATTTTGTCTTTGTTTTTCCATCCTGTTTCACAACTAAGCTATCTCACCATATTGGTCTAGTTTTTTCTCTTCTGCCCTTCTCTTCTTTCCTTATCTTCCGGCGACAAAACTCATGGGAACAAAGGCGAGAGAAAAAGAAATTGATGAGGAGAATTGATGCCTTATGGTTTCTATTAATAAATTCAATAGTTCCGTTTCTGTTTCTATGTTACTCCTACCATTATATCTCTCGATACATATCACTATCTTTATATAACATATATATATATATATATAAATCGAGCAACACAAGGTGATCACATTACAAAATCATTCTCTTCCACTTTTTCATAGAAACAAATCTCTATAATTATTCTATTTCTTTAACCGGAAATCTCAATTTATGTATCATTCTTCAAAATTATATTTAGTTGAGAGTCTAGAAAAATGGAATGTTGCTGTCGACAAAGGGATACTCTTAGTTTAAAGTTAAAAAAGAAAAATATCCAATGATAAACGCTTATTAAACATTCAACAACTAAATGAGTGACTGTTGTACTATAAATTGATTGAAAATTTCATTTTATTCTTTATGAAAAAAAAAAATTTATGTTCAATACAAATGGAAGTTTTTGTTAATTCCCTACTGAATCGATTCGAACATGTACGCAATGTTAGTCCTATGACAACTTATTTTTTTGTTCCAAAAAAAAAAAATGTCAACCAGTTGATGTTTTCTGTCTCTTTCTCTCTCCCTCTCTCTCTCTCTCTCTCTCTCTCTCATTTTCATTCGTTTTGATGAAAATTGTTTTCACGATGACCAAATATTTCCGATTCATCTGGTCGTATAATCGATGTTGTTGTCGAATTATTTGGTGTTACACTCATTTTTCGTTGTTTTGTTGAACGATCTCGTTTTCTCGTAACAATACCATTTGAACCTTTTTTTTTTAAATTAACAATTGACTGTTTTTTTCTATTTATCATATCTGTTCGAATTGATCGACGACTATTTATATTATTATTTAATTTTGAGCGAACAGCATTTGTTGATTTACTACGAAGAGCATTGTTATTATTATGATGAATTAAATGTCGATATGTTGAACGACCACTTGTTTTAGATGAACGTTGAATGTGTACAGGTGGTCGTCCACGACGTGAATATTGAGCATGAACCGATGATCGACTACGTCTAGGAATTGGTGGTCTACCTCGTCCTTTACCTTTAGCTGTTAACGATGGTCGACCACGAACATTCGATTTGACTCTAGAAGAAATAAATACTATTTGAAAATATGAATTTTTGTTATTTGTATTTTGAATACAAGAACATTGTCATCATTAAACAAGTCATTCAGTCTAGATTGTTAGAAATAGTTTACTATTCTAAAATTTCAATTTAATAGAGTATAAAAAATATTTTTTCCAAATGTGTTCATTCTTAATCTTAATTTTTCTTTTTGCTCGTCTATGAGTGAAATTGAATACGTCAAAAATTATTGATAAAAAAAATTTAAAAACTTACGTTGTTTTTCCACCTTTTCCTTTTACAACTGGTTTAGCCATACTTTTTAATTACTCGATCGTTTTATCTTTATAAACGTAATAATAATAATAATAATAATAATACAACTAATATAATTAGAGAATTATTAGAAAATTTGTTTTTTTTTTCTTCTTTTTTATATATGATGATAGAAATTAAAACAGAAGAATAGAGGAGAAAGTGTGAATGATTTGTTATACGTATAATGAAGAATAAGAAGAATGATTTTAAAGTTTTATATTTGAGCAAGATTCCGAGGAAACATATACTTTTATTTTCATTTTAAGCGGCAAACTATCAGTATAATTAGAAAATTGTCATTGTGAAGTTGAATAAAACGCGCTCTGACAAATAATTATCAGAATTTAATATGCATATATATTCTTCTTCAAAACAGATGACTGCTGATAGCACTTTTATTTCATTTACACATGATATAATGGAAAGTTCAAGCTGTAACTTGAATATAAATAAATAAATTATTTGAATATTATCTTTAAAATCTTGAAATTAAACTAAAGATATTCTAAATGAATTTCATTTAGTAGAATTTCATCTGATAATTGAGAAGTTTATTTTGTCAAAATTTTATTATATTCTCTTTGTTATGATTAAAAATCAGCTTACCAATGTATCTATCTCATTTCTGAAGGAGAATAAAACAAATTTATTTAACTTTAACTGATGGTGATAAACAGAAAATGTTATCTGCCAAAAGACAACATAACAGAAACTTCAGGACTAAGTCTGATTTAACTGACAAAATGCATATAGAACAAAAAATGATTATTGTGTGGTTTAAACAAAATTCATGCCAATATTTTTTGCAATAATCGAAGAGAAAAGTTTTTCATCCTTGAGTGTGTTTGATTTCAGAGTACTACTGCGATGCGTATGCTATTGACACGTCGAACATCTTGTACAAAACCGAGTACTGAGAACATATACAAAGATTATCACCAATAAATTCATTCATCATTGAATCAAACCAAAACCATAGCTAAAGTGTCAATGTAAAAAATTCTCAAAACGTACAGAGAGCGGAAGGTATTTTCTTCGAGTTCAAAATTTCAAAGTTCGTTAAAATGATATTCAGTCAAAATTGTACAGTTACAGTGTACAAGATCACTCTCTTGATGTTTTAGTACATGCTAGGAAAATAATGATTCGACAATATCCTGATTTTATATCTTCGTACACTCCCGAGTTTCATAAAATTATTTTACTTTCTTCATTCATTGTTTTCTTGTTCAGCCGTACAAACAAAGTTGAAATGAATAACGAACGTACGAAAATGGCCGATATGACGTTAAATTCTACTTACAATCACTAACCAATTTGTTCAGTTTCTTTTTTTATACCGGACAGTCTTCTGCCACGACGAAAAGAAAAGTAACGTCAGATTTTTTTCCTGAATATGGCTGGGTCCAATTGTTTCAAACACTTTTTACAAAGAATATTTGACTGGAATGTACGTGATAGATCTAATATTTGTCCAAAAGCTATTACATCAGCAAAAATCAAATTTTCTCGATTTTTCTGTAAAAAATTTGAACAAAACTACGATTTTAAGATAAAATTGAATTTTGTCGATGAAACACATTTAAACTTGATTAGCATTGGATATTTTTGTCGAGCATGTTGTAGTGAGGTACGCGATACTTTCATTATGTCTCATCAAACTTTAGAATAAAACAAAAGTCGATAAGTTTTGATAGGTAGTAAATGATGATAGGAAAACACTGCCGGATAGGAAATTGAATTGGACATAATATTGTTTGGTTTTATTACTAAATAAAAGTATACAAGTTTTCTCTAACTTTCGTACGTAGCTCATTATGTTAAAATATTCCAGAAATAGAATTTTAAATTGAAAATCACTTTTATCTAACTAGAAGTCTCTTTCTATTAGTAGATGCATTTACAAAGAAAGCACAATATCACTTTATAAGTTTCTCTATCTCTATGTTTTACCAAAAATATTTTTATTAAAAAATTTTTTTTGGTTATTTTAGTTTTTTTTTTTTTCTTCTATCAACAAAAAAATTAGCCTAGAGAGCGCACACAATGGCATCAAAACACTTTTTCAAAAAAAATGTGCTCATCCGTACGCATAATCACATTGTTTCTGGGGTAAGAGAAAAAGAGTATCAACCAACATAGAAAAAAAAAACAAATAAACAATGTACACAAATAGAAAGACAGAAATGAAATAAACTTGTTACTTTTATCTGGTTTTTTTAAAAAATTTTGCTGTTCACTATTTTCCTCCATTGTCTAATGTAAACGAAAATGAAGTTTGTTTAGGAGAAGTGGATGTTGCTGTTCTATCAGCTTCATTATTACTGTTTAACGTACCATTAGTACTGGTCGTCATTTTTTCAAATAATTTTTGTTTTTTAGTACCATTTTCAGTAGATGTTACAAAATCCGGTGATAATGAACGTTTTGTTGTTGAATTAATTTCTGATGTTGTTGGATGATTAAACATTGACTGCCAAGGAGATTTTTCTTGTGGATCTGTTAATGTTGGAGATAACTCATGAGCGGACGATGAGAATGAAGATGTATCAACTGCTCGGATATGATGAGGTTTAAATGTAACAATTATACACGTCATATTGTCACAACCGGTTCCTAGAAAAGAATGTATCATCGTTCTAGTCACTGTTTTCTCAAATGTTGCAGAAGAAAAACATTGATTACAACAATCTCAACTGTCTAATATTTCCTAAAAGTTTCTTTAAAAAACAAAAATCTGATTTCAAGTATCAAATAATCATAACGACTGGTGCAAAAGTTCCTGGAAAAATGTCACTTCGTTTTTCTTCTACGAAAACATGTTTTGGAAAAATGAAAAATAGCTATTCAGAATCTACATTTGAAGAGCTTTCTAACTGTATGTTTAAAAAAGTTCTATCATTTGTGACCTTCGAGCAGTAAGTGCATCTTTGAAGGGCACTAACATGTAGTCTGTAAAGAAAAGAAACTTGTAGATCTTTTTGATTTCAACAGTAACAGCATTAAAATGAGAGATCAAACTATAGTTTTCATAAGAGATTACAGAGTAGACTTTTCTCTACAAAATAGACTCTCTGGACTTATTTCTTGTATTGAAAACTGAGCATCCTTTTAAGTTATGCAAAGTCATCGTTTTTTAAAAAATCGTGTTTTTTCTGACATAGAAACGAGTGTTCGCAAAATAACGATAACTTCTAAACCTTTTGTCCTATATCCTATTTGAGCACGTCGTTTTGCAGAAAAAAGTCTGCTCTAATAGCTTACATTATTAAAATAATTCTACTCAACGGCATTGAATTTTAGAGTTGGAAAAACTTCATGTATTCCTCTTTTTAGATCAAACGCTGGTCTGTTTGAAAGATTCGCTTTGTGCTCGTAGGTTAGAAACGAAAAACGTTTTCGAACAGTAGTTGAGAAAGTTCTTCAAATGTCGATTCGAAAAACTTGTTATTTTTTTCTAAAATATTTTTAGCACAAGAAAAATGAAATGACATTTGTAATATCTGTTTTTTACGGACTAGGTTTTGTGTCAATCAAAAATGCGCTTACTGTTCGAAGGTCACAAATGATAGAAATTTTTTTTGAACATACCGTTAGAAAGCTCTTGAAATCGGCTTATCCACTTAACTCGACACTTCGCTGATCAAGTTTTTAAAAAAATTATTTTAGAGTAGAACTGAAAGAAACATATCACTAGATACAGTTTTTGGTGCTGATTACGAATCTCACATTATTTTTTTTAAAAAAAGTTAAATTTTGCCACTTAAAATCCAGTTTTACATTTTTTGGAAACTGAATTTTCAATTTCCTCACCTAGATACTTTTCCTAATAAAAATGGAAGGCAACACTAATCGATAGAGAATTCGATTCTCTACAAGATGGTATGTTTCTTTTGAAGTTTAGACTCAAAACAAGCTTTTTAATAAAGTTTTAAGATTCTCACACAATTCTAAGAAAGTGAAAACATTTTTTCAGCTTTATTTTCACGTTAGTCTATATTAGATGCCTAAAACTAAGTTCGATGTGAAAATGAAATCCTTTGAGCAATGTTTAGTGTTCCAAACTTTGTTGGGAAAAAAGTGTCATAGCATCACGATGATAAAACACAATTATTGAGGAATGGAAAGCTCATTGGAAAGATTCTTTTTTAGCAATCAGTAGCTCGTTTATTCTATAAACTTTGCTCGAGGCGCTTTTTATTAGCTCTTCTAAATTCGCAGCAAATTAGCATTTAATGAGAAGAACTTCGAATTTAGGGCCTTTTTTTATCACAGTGTCACGCGCCGAAAAACTGTTCTATAAATTTGAGTCTTTAACCATATACCTTCATTTTTATACCAAAGGTAGAGTATGGCGAGCTGCGTCGAATAGCGCAAGAACGAATTTTCCAGCTCTTACACTTTTTGAGAAAAGCTCAAATTACTGTGTCAAAAATGTCACAGCGTCACGCTTGGACAAGCCGAAATGAAGATTTTGAATAGCTATTTTTCATTTTTCTAAAACATGTTTTAGTAGAAGAAAAATGAAGAGACATTTTTCCAGAAACTTTTGCATCAGCCGTTATACAATTTACTTCTTCGATGAAATGTTTTCTATCTTCTGTTCTAATTCTGTGTGTCTAATTCTGTTCTATCTTCTGTTCTAATTCTGTTGACAAACAATTTTCTCTTTCGAAAAATATCAAAAAATACTTACCATCACCACTTGTATTTGGAGCAAGACAATACATAAATAACTAAAACGGTAAACAATAAGAAAAAATAAATAATTATTTATTTTTCATAGAAAAATTATTAACATACATCGTCACAAATTTGAGTTAAACTTGATTTTGATAAACGATTACGAACAAAATCAACAACATCTTGACTAGACATAAAATTCCTTAAAAAAAGATGAAAACAAATATTATAAGATATTGCTGTTCAAATGCAAGACTTACCATATTCCATCACATGCAATAATCATAAATTCATCTTTTTCTTCAATTGTTAATGTTTTAATTTCTGGATAGGCTGTTATTGCTTGTTCTGCAGCTGGTAAATTTGGTGTACGTTTATAACCATGATCACCTAGAGTAAAAACAAAAAGAGTACTAGAAAATTTGAAGTAAAACAAAAAACTATTGCGAAAATTGTACCGATAGCACGAGATAAATTTAAACCACCGGATACTCGTCCATCAAGTGTAACTTTATAACCAGCTTTTTCTATTCGTTCGCGTTCAATTGGATCTTCGGGTTTATGATCTGTAAAACAAATATATTACGAACATTTAGACAAGATAATACAAATTTTAAATACTTAGGGCATACCAAAAGTAGTGGCAGTGGTATTTTTATCCCTTATAGAAAGGTTAAAGAAACTTTCTTTTTATATAGTCTGATAGAGAAAAGAATGTTCTATTTTTCTATGCTATTTGATCAT